TCAGGTCCTTTTCAATTTCAGCAAATAAGGTTGCGTCATCTGCAAAATGCAAATTGTTGATGAGTCTTCCTTCACTTCTGATGCCACATTTCTCCATATAAAGTTCAGCCTCCTGAATGTTCTCTTCTTCTCACAGATTGATAAATTATGGAGATAAGCCACATCCCTGGTGCACTCCTTTTCTGATTTTAAACATGCAGTATTTTCTTGCTCTGTTTTGATGGTTGTTTCCTGGTCTAACTATACATTTGCCTGAGCACAATTAGGTCATCTAGGATTCTCATTCTTCTCAAGGTTAGCCACAATTTGTTGTGATCCATGCGATCAAATCCCTTTGCATAGACAATGAAACACAAAGACACATTCCTTTGGTACACTCTGCTTTCAGCTAAGATCCATATAACATTGGATAAAGTCACTAGTGCTATTACCTCTTCTAAACATAGCTTTTATTTCTGTAGTTCTCTGTTGATGTACTGTTCCAGTCACTTTTGGATAACCTTTCGGAGGATTTTGCTTCCATGTGATATTAATGATATCGTTCAATAATTTCCTCATTCTTTAGATCACTTTTTTTTTTTGAATGGGTATACATATGGATCTCTTTTTGTCAGTTGGCCAGGTGGCTGTCCTCCAGATTGCCTGGCAGAGACTGGTGAGCACTTCCAGGTCTGCATCTATTGAAATATGTCAACTGCTATTCCATCAATTCCTGGGCACTTGTTTTTTGTTTATTCCTTCAGAGCATCTTGAACTTCCTCTTCATCGCCATTGCCTCTTGGTGTTATGTTGTTTCATGAAACCCTTTTGTGACAGTCAATTATTTGTGGTACAGTGTCTCTGTGTACCCTTCACAACTTCTTTTTATGCTTCCTGGATTATTCAACTTTCTCCCCAGAGCCTCCTTAGGTATGGCAACTCATGGCTTGAATTTGGTCTTTAGTTCCTTCAGCTTAACAAATGCTGAGTGAGTTCGACCATTTTAATTTTCTAACGCTAGCTCTTTGCTTATTTCATTAATTATTTTGCTTTGTCTTCCTGAGCTGCTTTTTGAGATCTTCTGATATACTCTTAAAATTCCTGATTTCTTGTGAATATGCACTGGAGTGTCAGTTATGTGTGAAATCTGACTCAAGGGTTCAGCTCTCAGATGCATAGAAAGGGATTGGAAAGACTGTGGGCTGAATTAGACACACTTTAATTCTCAAAGTGACATCATTGCTCCTCAATAGTATGGAGAGGTCCCTAACTACAGATTTTCCCAGAGCAATGAGTCATTTTATTTCCTGTATTCTGGTTCCAAAGGGGTTAATTGTGGATTCAAGTAAGATAAAATTATTGACAATTTCAATCTTTCCTCCATCCATCATGATTCTGTCTACTGGTCCCATGGTAAGAATCTTTGTTTTCTTCACATTGAGATGGAATTCACATAAAGGTTGCATTCCTTGATCTCCAGAAACAAGTGTGTCAAGTCCTCCTCAGTTTCAGCAAGCAAGGTTGTGTCATCTGCGTAACACAAGTTATTACTGAGTCTCCCTCTTACTGATGCCACATTCCTCTTCATAGAGTCCTGCTTCTCGAATAATTTA